CGATTCACCTGACTGCAATAAAACGAAAATTTAAACCAATAAGAAATCGTTTCATTTCTTTGATTTTTTTTGTAAAGAAATAACACTAAAGTAATTGTATTTTATTTTGGGGTGTATAGAGCTTAGACTTGAATGCATCAAAATATTTAAAGCGACAAGTCATCTACCATAAGTTAAAATAGACCGAATAGTAGAAGAATACAGTTGTAAATTAGAATGCATCAACATTGCATCGCCCAACAGTCGTATACCTCGTAAGAGTAGGTAATATTGTTCTGTGGTCTATACCTAGAACCGAGAATTATCTATACCTATGTACCTACCGTTAAGCGTTGAGCCCGTGACTGTTGATTTCTGTTAAAAACGAACAGTTGTTGAATGATATTTTGATATAATAACGGTAATTTAATTTTTCGAGTGAAAGTGATACATTTTTATAGATAAAATTATTGGTCAGATAATATTTGTTAATCAAGAATCGCTGATAATACATCCTTCGCTAGAACGCGGGAGGGGAGGGGCGAAGGGATGCTTCATTGTTTGCAATTTGCATCTAGTGCACTAAACTTGACCCTTAGGCAGATAATATACGTGTTGTAAAGTACGTGTGCGCTTCCGCTTCCTATTTTTGCAAATATTTATCGTATTCTTGAGAGTTCTTCAATATGTGTGTACCTGATTACTAATAATAGGCATTAATGCTAATTCGATTCAATTTAAGTAATTGTCAATTCTTGTCTTAGGATATTAATTAACTACTAATGCTAATATTGAAATTTCGTTCAGGGTGAACAAATTAAAAACGATCATAACTTTTAGGTAGGTATATCACTTATTACTAATTTTACATAAATAATTTATTTTATTATAATTTAACTCACAGCGATTTTGTGATCAAATATTTTATTTTCTCCAACATTATTACAGAAATAATGCAATACAGAGTTTGTTCGCGATATGCTAGCCTTAGTCGATTCATCACTTAAAAAAATCCCCATCTATTCACAAAATACCTATTTACAACGCATACGTTACACTCTTCAAAACTTATCATTTCATTTCATTTCATATTTTTTAAATTACCTATACCTACCCTAAAATTAAACTTCAATTAACAAATACTACGCAGGTACCAATTCTATGAACAACTATTAACAATTCACCTAAACATTACGAGAAAACCAAAGCATTCAAAACAATACCTAATCTCCCGGCTGATTACTAATTATGCAATAAACAATCCTAAATAAAAAATATTTAAAAAACATGTAGTTTTTTGTAACACTTATGTACATATCCGTAGTAAACTTCCAAATAATATCCTACATATTTTAAAAGCCAGCACAATGTACTGGGTGATCGCTTTTTTGTAACCACCTAAACATGGTCGGGTTACCACGGTCTTGCACCTTCTAATGACTTTTATTTAATTATCTCGTAAATTATTATATGTACTACGCTGAAATTTTACAGGTAGACAACTGAACTAAACAACTAATTATTGGCATAACATTCAGTTTATATATCCACACACAGGTTTATCGGTGGCCAAAAAAGGCCGCACACATTGTGATCGTGAACGTGGAGAGCTACATTTCATCATAACTTTTTAGTCACTTACAGTATTCTTACGAAAATTCGTATACATTTGAAGGTAGTTACAAGCAATAGAATAACGTTTCAAGTAAGTCTTTAGAGGTCTTATTTAAAGTGTTAGGACGTATTGAAGTGTTTTCATACTTACCTAAATAATTTTTAAACGGTCCATTATTTTTATTATTTTATTGTCGAACAAATTAAAACTAATCCTTAAGAAGTTATGTACAAAAGATGGTTACAATCCGCTTACCCGTTTCAGAGATCCAGCAAACCCACAAACGTTACTCCAGCAGGATTTCGAATAACTTCGCAACCGAAGAAAATACAAATACCAAATAAGTTGTAACATTTACCTAGTCCAGATAACTAATTATTTAGCTAAAATTTATTTCAATATTACAATTAAAAAAGAAAATGTCTGGCTGCGGTAACGTTTCAAACGTTACTCCAGCAGGAAATGTTTTTTTGAAATAACTAAAAAAGTTTAAGTGAAACAAATTTAAAAATGTGCTTAACAATTACAGAAGGGGAGCAACTAATTATCTATAAAGTTTAAATGACCATTTTCGACATTATTTTGCTGGGGTAACGCACACGCAACCGTCAGAGACTGTGCGATGTGATGCGCAGGGAACTTGCAGTATTTATGTCACCACAGTAATTTTCGTTGTATTAAGAAGAAAAGGTTGAAATTTTTTATTCTATCTTGTTAAAATAATTCGGATAGACGTTTTGTTGCTATGGATGGCATCGCATTTCGTTTGTTAGTAATTTTATACTTAATTTATTAAAATAGTTCTGGAAAAAACTCTTAAATTTTGTGTGGGTCAACTTTCTAAGGAGAAGCCTATGTCCAGCAGTAATTTAATATAATATTTAATATAATCTAACAAACAACAGTTTGTTACTAAACATTACGGTACGTAGTGTTTTAAATATCGTACTTATCTACTCATTACAAACATATCCTACACTAAAAATGGTAAAATAAACCCTTTTAAAAAAAAAGTTGAACCGACTTCAAACAACACCGACAAAGAGCACTAAAAATTAAAAAATAGTTACAAATCTAAGTAAATAACTATAATAAGTACCCTCAATGTAACAGGTAACATTATAATACCAATAGTCCCTTCTAGTCTGTTTGAAGTCGGTGCCAAGCCAAATAGGTGCCAAGCCAAATTGGCTAATCTCTCAAGCCCCGCCCTAGTATCAGATTCCACCAGTAATAAGCCATCCGGATGGTATTGGTATCGCAAGAAAATCGTCGAAGCCGATATTCCACAAGTATGGACCTTGCACTGATCCCTGAGGACATGCCATTGTAAGCGCCTTCGACACAGAATGATGACCAAGTCTTAGTTTAGTTGTACCTTGTGAAAAGTATGAAGAGAAAAGGGAATAAATATTTTTAAAGCATCCCCGAGAATCACCATTCATCAGCATTGTTGCGAGAAGCCCAAAATCGATCTAAGTGGCGTGCAATGGGAGAGGCCTATGTCCAGCAGTGGACTGCGATAGGCTGATGATGATGATGATGAAAGCATCCCCGTGATTTAAATTTCAGCAACGGCATGGGCCATCATGTTTTGTCGAAGGCGCCAGATATTTGTAAGAAAATAGCCAGCACGTATTGAAATTTTCACTCTGTGACAAACTTCCTAACCGATATAACAGCGTCAGTTGTCGATTTCCCCAACGTGAATCGAAATTGTCTATCATGAAATTTGACTTCACTTGGCAGAAGCCGGGGCACTACAAGACGTTCTAAAAGCTTTCTAAACGATCGTAACAATGTGATTGGCCGGTAGGATCATCCGGTGGCTTGTCGCCGCTTTTTGGTATTATACCGCACCGCCATATACGAGGAAATATTCTTTCCGCAATGCAACGTTTAAAGACAGTGAAAATTGTGTTACCCGAAAGTTTACAAGCTTCTTTTATTATTTTGTTAGATATTTTATTGTGTATAGCGGCAAGAAAAAACAGACTAGACGAACATTTAAAAACTACAAAACAAACACAAGTGCATATGCATGCATCAGATCTGATCTGCTAGTGCTTTATAAAATAATAATAATAATATACACACACATTATTATAAAACATTATTATTGAAATATTTTACTCATTTTGTAATCAATAGTTAGTACTCTATCGAGTAAATTTCACTTTTTTACTCTAACACTAACACTTTTGGAAGGCTAGTCCGTTTCATGTTTTTGCGCTCTTCTTGAAAATTTTATAAAATGCACTTACTGGGTTTTGATTTTTGGCAGCCGTGCCATACGCCTAATACCGCACACGCAAATTTGCGATTGTTGTTAATCGACTTTTTCAGTAATTCTACTTTTTAAAAACGGCATTTTACTACGTTGTCTCTACAACGTAGTAAAATGCCGTTTTTAAAAAGTATTCCTCTGAAGTCTCGATAAACAAAAACGTTTTGAAATATTCACTCCCAAGTTGTCCCAAAATTTTTTTAGAGCCGTACTCCGAAGGTCACTTTTTCAGTTTTTTAAAGTTTCGCAAAAAGTTTAAAGCCGATCTTGCTGATTTTTTTTTGGGCTAACTGGAGGTTACCAAACCCACATCCTCAATTTAAGGTCTTAATATTGATTAGAACGCGAGATAATGTTGTTTAAAAATTGTAAAAAAATGCGGAATTTTGCAATTTGCAAAGAAACTATTCAACCAATCGGGACTCTACAAATCTTATTTTGTTTGTCTTTTTATTGCTCATTTTTCGTACATTCACACTTTCTTTGTACGATTTGAAGTTTTCGTGTAAAACGCGATAAACCGTTTTAAACTTTTTTTTTAAACAGTGTTGCCATGAATGAAATGAAATATGCTAATCGTGACGTTTTCAAAAAGAAAATGGAGGTTTTCAAATTTATACGTGGATTCGCTAATTCTATCCGACTTTAAACAATAAATATTACTTTATGTTTAAGATAATAAGCAAATAAACAATTGACGATTATCTTAAGTTGTTTAAGTTTAAGATGATTTTGTAATTTAAATAATTTAGGAGATCATTGAGAAATTAAAGTATTGTCTATCGATATTTATTTTTTAATGTCAAACTATCAATATCCTAATCCTTAACTATAAACTCCCAAAAAAACAGTGATAAGTAGTGTCGATATTTTAACCGATGTTTCGGCATATCGATATTTGTCAAGTCCTATTATCATGTGTGACAGTTGACATTGACAGTACTAAGAGTAAATAGGTATAATATTAATATATTTAAAAGGTTTAATGTTAAAATGGTTCACACTACGTTAGTAGTTAGTTTTTAATTAGTTTTCACTACGTTGGTATAAACTAGAAGTATTACAAAAGTATACTACCGAAAAGTATTATAATATATAGATACCTATTCCTTCTCCGCAATGTTTACTTTTGGCTTGAAACGGACTTATCTACAACTTAATAAACTCAAGAATTTTAGAAATCACTCCAGCGTCTCTCGAGGTGTACAAGTTTTTGTAAAGAAAAACTTACTGCTCACAAACAGTATTACATCGGGGGCCTTTATGGCTTTGGGGGATTTGGTGGAGCAGGAAGTAGAAATCCGAAGAGGACTTACAACAGCGTACGATTGGACACGCATAGGTATAATATAAAAATTTAAATAAATATATAAATGAATGAAGTGAACCAAACTCAATAGAAGCAATATAAACTGTACTATATACAAGTTCTGATCAGGAAAGCTGACATAGCAAGATAAATATTTAATGTGAGAATATTCAGTTATTTATTATTATAATAAAGTTGAGGATGTCTGAGTTATGTAACTTATTTTGTTTAAGGTCACATGTTTACTGTGGGGACACTTTTAGGCCCATTGCATCACTATTACTATGTGGGATTAGATAAATTAATACCAAAAGTATCTGTTAAAACAGTTTTAGTCAAAATATTATGTGACCAAACAATCGCTGGACCACTTACTATTGTTTGTTTCTACTACGGAATGGGACTTTTGGAGAGCAAACCACTTGAAGTGTGTACAGATGAATTGAAAAAAAAATTTCTAACAACCTTAGTAGTAAGTTTTATCTATATATTATTAAAAACTTATGTTTACATGCACAATTGGTGTTGGTAGCACAGTAGTATAAATTTAACAGTTTACAGGACATTTTGAGCTTATTCAATTACTGCTTATGCAACAGAATTCTACAGGATAAATAACTTTCTGTGACAAAAGATCCATAAACTCTGGTTGTCCATGAACTTGCAACTAGAAAAACAAAAATGATACTTTTGCTAATCCCTTCAATGAGTTTGACTGAACTGATGGTGTAGTGGTTTAAGCGGTCATCACACCGTTTACTACTACGCTGAGTGTTGTGGGTCTGATCCCCAATTGGGACAACACTTTGTGTGTTCCACAAATTGTTGTTCTGAGTCTGGGTGTTCTTTGTGTCTATTTCATGAATGTTTGTAAATTCCCCTGTGACAAAGGATATATTCCTAATGCAGAAGTTGTCTTTTTAGTAAAAAAAAAGTTTCAAAAGATGAGAAAAAAATAAAATTTAAAATATTTATTATTATATTATTTAACTTATTAAACTCTTAACTAGCCAAATGTTAGATCTGTTTCTGTCTCCAATACCAATTTACTTTCATATCTTTGTTTCAGGGTGACTTCATCTATTGGCCACCAATACAGTTTATCAACTTTTATTATCTTCCAACTCATTACAGAGTTATATACATCAATGCAGCAACAATGTTATTTAATGTATTCTTATCATACATGAAGCATTATGATCAAAAATAAGTGACTTCTTTTTTTAATGGGGCAATACACATAAAAGTAGTATAAGAAAAATAAGGGGCCCTTTCTATACTTTCTTGCAAAGCAAGTAGACTAAAATAGCAACAAACTAACAAAAATTGAATTTCGTCTACTTTTTATTTCATCTTAGGAATCATCACCAGCCCTTAACAGTCCACTGCTGGACATAGGCCTCTCCTTACAATGGAGGTTTGGAATATGGTTGATAATATTTTTTTTGTTATAGTAAGTACAGCTGAAGTCTTAGGGGTCATTCAATAATTACGTAAGGGTCCCCAAGGGGAGGGGGGTTAAGAAAATCTATACATGCCCTTATATTGGAGGGGAGAGGGGGTAAAACCCATTGTTACATAATATTTTCAAGTCGAAATTTATTATTAACTGAACGCTGAAATATGCTGAACGATTTTCTTCAGCCCGTATGTGCACTTCGATTTACATCTTATTTTACAAATTTATATTGTTAATTAAAATTTTAAAGATTTGTGTCCTATATGTGATTTTATGTGGTTTTATGAATGTCTATTTTTATTTCTATTGTGGTTTGTTTTCTGTATATACTGTACTAACACTAGTCTCTAAGAATATTGTTACTAAAAAAATGGGGACACCATGGTCTGAAATAAAGAGTTATTATTATTAAATATGTTCATATTCATCCATTTTAAAGGTCATAAATAATAATTATATTATAGTGAATTCTTCCCGCGTATTAGCTTTTATTGTGGAATTTATTTTCTTTAAGAATAATTAAAAACTAGTCGATCATTATTTTGAAAGTGTTATTCATTTAAAGATTGTTTAACTGATTTATGTTTGTTCACTTTAAAATTATTTAAAAACTTACTTTTAATTATAATAATAATATTCCAAAGACTAGATAGTTATCTTACAATATAAAAATAATCTATATCGGATAGCAATAATAATAATAATAAAGCCTCTTTATTTTCCTTAACTTAGAGAGTTTAAAATCACTAAATTTATCATTTAAAAAAAAACTTAATGTTTACAATTAGTAATGTTAAGGCCCCTGGCGGGTATAGGTCTCCTCCAACAGTTTCCAGGTTTTTCTTAACTTTGCCTTCTTAATCCAGTCATTTCCAGCGTTCTTTAGGACGGCCTCTAACTCTCTTGCCACTTGGGCCTTCCAATTTGTAACTAGATGCGTCCTTTCTCTTTTTTTTTTCTTTATCTTTAATTTGTCAATCGTGATTCGTGGCATTTCCGTCATTTCCATTTAAGCTTCCAGGTTTGTGAGCCGTATGACAAGAAGGATAGTAAACATCCATCCATGACTTTCTTTTTCAGTTTTAGAGGTAGTTTAGACTTGAAAATGGTTTGGAAGCTGTACCGTGTACGTGGTTTGCTGATTAGATACCGGGCCGGCTATGGGCCGGTAGGCGGATGGTGATTCCGCCGGGCCCCTCCTTTCAGATGAGGACCAGTTTCCCCGTCTTCCACAATTTCGGAAACCGGCCCCGCTCGAAACATGCGCTGAGGAACCCTCTCAGTCGGGGCTCGAGAGCCTCGTCACCTAAGGCCAGGACGTACGCTCGGCCTGGGATGCCATCAGGTCCCGGGCGGTGTTTTTGGCTTTAAGCCGTAGCACCGCCACCCTTAATTCTGCCCAAGTGACCTCAGACACGTCGTCGTCATCCACGTTAGGCTCTCCGAGTGCCGAAACCATCTGTGGTGGAGTATGCTCTACCACCCGCGATGGAAACAGGGAGCCGTCTACCCATTCCATCGCGGGTGGTGGAGCATACTCCACGGAATCACAGAACGGTTCTGTGCTGAACCGATTGCAATCGACAATGGTATCCTTTAAACAGTATCTTCTGCAAGTGATCAACACTGCACGACCCTTGAGGTTGGCACAGAAGACTTAACTCGTGGGTTTCAAAGTCACCAAATTTATTTTATTTTATCAAACGCTTACATACACTATGACTATAAAATTAACTACAGTGGCGGATTAGCCACGTAGCAAGATTAGCAAATGCTACGGGCCCCGCGCATTTCGGGGCCTCACGCAACAACGCTTTTACATTTCTTATCACGAAAAAGTCCTGAATTTGTATCTGAATGTTCATCTTTAATTGAAACTTTTAGTACATTTCTAGAAGTCAGAAACTGCGACCCGAGTTGACCCGACGCTGCGACGCCCAAGCCGGACAAATTGCCAGCGTGTGCTAAACCGAGTCCTCACTTCAATTGCAGTGATGACAGGCGGGACTCGATTCCCTTCTAGCAACCGAGTGTAGAATCAGCTATGCCAGGAAAGGACCTGTGTCAGTCAGAAGGAAAGGGTCACCCTGCCATTCGACGATGACCGGCTGGAGCACCACTACGGCAGCAAAGCCAGCATGTGGAGCCTCCAGCCGGGACGACCAATGAGCCACAGTGGCTCGTTCATCGCACCAGAGGCGCACCCTATTCAGGGCGGTCAGAGCTGCCGTCCACACAGTGCCATTGACCGGACATTCCCCGTTTACAGCCGTCTTGTCGCGACGCTGGGTCCTCCCAAATTGGGCGGACGCAGCGCCGACCAACCTGTACGGTGACCGAGTTGACCACGATTGAGGCGCCAGGGGGTAGACCACGATGTGGCCTATGAAATAAGAGGCCTCCGTCTTATCTAGGGTCATATGTCCATATGCCCAGCGCCTCAAAGTGCCCCACCACCAAAGAGACATTCCTGGTGGCCAGGCCGCTTCTTGAAAGTTCACCCCACGGGCTGTTACCAAATAACAGATTACGCCCAGCCCAGGAGGAGAGGCCACTAGAAGGGCCCAGTCGTACCCTATGTTCCACAGGAGGGACTTAAAACCAGAGCTCTGTCTCGTCAACCAGCCAACCCGCTTGGCCAGCTTGGCAAAACCTCCTTTCTAAGGAGAGGCTTATATCCAGCAGTGAACTATTATATGCTGTTGATGATGATGAATGCCATAAACTACTTAGACAATCCTAAAACAATTCAAGAGCCCCTTGATAAAATTTGCTACAGGCCTCGCGCTAGCTTAATCCGGTACTGAATATGTGCAACAAAAAGAATAGAAGAAATCGAGAAATTTACTTTGATAAAAATATAAGAATTATTGACACAAGCTTCAAACAGAAAAATATCACCCTAACAATTCTTAAGAAAAATAGTGTATTTAAGGCTTAAATGTTAATAAAGATAACTTTTTGTTATTTGGTTATCTCATATCATAAGTTTATATCGTCTATCATGAGTAATAATAATTTTGTTATCAACATATTGTTACGATCTGGGTATACAAATAATAAAAGTTGTCAGTTAATTACTTTATTTCACTTTATTTACAAACACTCACTACTAGGAAACTACTATAAGTATTTCTTGTTAGTCGCACTAGAAATTCACTCCGATGTTAATTCGTTGTGTCGTAAACGAAACTGTTACTATGACTTTAGAGTCTACATGGAAGAAGATTACAATTTTGGAAATTTTATGAAATAAAGAAAGTTTGAGTTTTACTAGAAAGTTCCTAGTATTCGATAGTCCGTTCAAATAACAAGAATTTTCCAGAATCAGTCACTCGTTACTTGCAGCGCCATCTAGCGCTGTAAGCTTCGCATGACTCTGTGCCTAATAAAGAGCACACAAAATAACAATTAGAAAAGGCCCCTTTCAATCTTGTAACACGGCTTGTCACCGCAGGAGATAAAGACTTTAACCCTCCAACACATCAAAAACGGTATAAATGCACGTACATTGTAAGATCGCTGGTATCGCCACATCGAATGATACTACTTTAACACTCTTTGAGTAGTAACATAAAATACGACATTATCAGATTGGCGGAAGTTAGAACTGGTAGCCATATCATAGAACTAGAAGAACACATTTTCTGTTATATTGGAGAAACTAAAGGTCTACATGTAGTACATATAGTGTTGGCTTCTTGATAAAAAAGGAGTATAAATCAAATATTCAGAACAACATAGGACTATCAGAAAGAGCATGTATACTGAACCTTCAATTTGAATCAACAAAATATCATGAATACAATGTTATTATATGCGCCCACCCACGACGCACCTGAAGAAGAAGTAACGTCCTTCTACGATTAACTTCAAACAGCTTATTCAGTCGTCAACGGGACACTGATTGTAATGGGAGATTTAAATTGGATAAAAAACCAGGAGAAAATTTAACAAACGGATCATATTGCTATGGCAACAGAAATTTAAGAGTCGATCGGCTATTACAGCCGATCGACTCTTAAATGCACTTATGCACTAGAAAAAAAAACTTACTAAAATAAATACTTTATTCAAGAAAAAACAAAATAACCTGTGGACTTGGACTAGTCCAAATTTAATAACTCAAAACCAAATAGACTACATTCTCAGTAACAACCCTTTTTTTTTCCGTGCGGAAATCCCCTCGGATACCACCTCAGTAACAACCCTAAAAAAATCTCAAATAAAGAAACGTTAAATATAAACTACCTATTCACAAGTAACCATAAAATAGTAATTGGTGCCGCAACCTCCCGACCCTAATACAAGGCGAAAAAAATACAAAAGCATTCTTCAATCTGATAAAAAAGGAAAACCAAAAAATATTTAGGAATGAAATTGAAGATTTCGAGTCCTACTATAGTAAAATAAAAACAACGATATTACAAAATTTAAGAAACACAAGTACAAAAAAGAAAAGAAGGATATATTATCAACAAAAACAAAATTTCAAATGAAGAGACGATCTGACCTACTTACAACGTAAAAAAAAACAAAAAGTAAAGAAGAGAGGCTAGAGCTCTGCAATTTATATAAAACTACAAACCAGACCTAAATAAAAAACGACTAAAAACCAATGATAAAGGTTGACCTAAATTATCTGCTAAAAAATAGAAATCTTTGATTTACGTCAAAATGTGAGTTTTAGTGTAACTGATCCTTTTTTAACAACGTTTTATTACTCGGACACGGCTCTCCACACGCTGGCA